CCTCCTCCCTCTCCCTCCTCCCTCTCCCTCCTCCCTCTCCCTCCTCCTTCCTTCCCACCCTCTTTTGCAACGTTCAGGAGTCTTGGGGCCCCTGAGCGTTCAGTCCGTCCACGACTCCAGCAGGCCCCAGGGCCTTTGCTCCCCAGGATGGTCGCCTGGGTGCGCAGGGGACAGCGAGAGGGGGCGTCAAGTGGCAGCGGAAGTGCTGCTTCCTGGGGGGGGGGGGGGGGGGGGGGCGTCCCTCCTCCCCGCAACCGGAAACAGACCAGGACGCATTCTCTGTAGTTCAGACCCCAAACGCGCGGGGTGCTCCCCCAGCCCGGCCGGACTTCGGGTGGAGGGGCCGGGCCCACCCTGCGGGGGCGGCGGGGCGGCCCCGCCCGCGCTCACCTGCTCCGCGCTGATCGCCTTCAGAGTGCGGGGTCACCGCGAAGATGGGCCGCCAGAGCCGCATCGTGGGCGGGAGCAGCGCCTCCCCGGGGGACTGGCCGTGGCAAGCCAGTCTGCACGTCCAGGGCGTCCACGTCTGCGGAGGCTCCATCATCAGCCCCGAGTGGATCGTGACGGCCGCCCACTGTGTGGAGGAGTGAGTCCCCGGGGGCCGGGGGAGGTCTGGGGGGGGGGGGGGGGGGGGGGGTTGGGGGGGGGGCGGGGGGCCCGGGTGCCGGGGGCGGGGTGTCCGATCCCTCCAGGCCCTGGCGTCCCGGCCCGTGGGTGGGCCCCCCCCCCCCCTGCGCGGCGGGCCGGGGGGGGGGGGGGGGGGGCTGGTGGGCTGGAGCGCGGGGAGCGGGACCCCCTCCTGCCGCCGGCTTCGCGGCTCCTGCCTCTCTCGGGAGCCCCCTACTTCCGGGAGGGCCGGACTCCCTGGAAGCCCGTCCTCACCACCGCAGGCCAGGGGACTTCGCGCTGCCCTGCCCCAAGGCTCCCTGGGACGCACGGTCAAGCATCCCTGGCCACAGCGTGGCCCTCAGGACGGGGCAGCCGTAATTTACAGCGTCCGCTTTTGTGGACGACGCTGCCCCCTCCTTTCTCCTTAAACACAGACTTTTTTGGTCACACGCCTCCTTTGGAGGAAACCGCTCGGCAGAGAGGTCTTTCCGGCTTAGCGTGACCTCGAGCCGGCTGCGGACCTGGCCATGCCGTCCTCTGGCTGTGTGGCCCCCGACCGTTCACGCAAGGTGTCTGACCGCAGTGTCCCCTTTGCACACCTGCAGGACAGGTGTACCTGCCCCTCCCGAAGGCCGTTGGCGGGGGGGGGGGGGGGGGGGGGGCGGAGGGAGCGACGTTTGTCACCCACTGGTGTTCCCTTCCTGACTTCTTTCCACCGGATTCCGATACCTCCCGGGATCTGGGGTTCTCCTAAAAGGGAAACACCTAGAGGAAGCTAATGCCCTAATGGCTGTGAGGCCTACAATCTAGCCATCCGCATGCACTTATTAAGCACCTGTTGGTGCCAAAAGATGCCCTGATACGTGAAGGCAAGTAAGACCCAGTCCTGCAAGAAACGAGGTTTGGAACCTCAGGGAGGCAGTCAGACCAAGAAACAGCGTTCTTCGATGTTCTGAGGGTTTGCGGCTGGTACAGAAGTATGGGGGTGGAGGGGCTGGGTGGCTCAGTTAGTTAAACGACCCCCTCTTGATTTGGGCTCAGGTCACGATCTCACGGTTTGTGAGTTTGAGCCCCCCATCGGGCTCTGTGCTGATGCGCAGAGCCTGCTTGGGATTCCCTCTCTCCCTCTCTCCCTGCCCCTCCCCTGCGCGCGCTCTCTCTCTCTCTCTCCTAAAATAAATAAAAACACTAAAAAAAGAGAGAAGCACAGGAGGAATGGACCTTATTGTCGAGGTGCACGGGTGGGTGGGGCCACGGCAAGGCGCCAAGGGACAAGAGCCCGAGACCTCCCCGGCCTGGCCATGTTGCTTCTAGAGGGTCATGGCGCCTCCGGGACACCTGGCTCTGGCTTGTGACTTTGGAAGTCACCAAAGGAGTGTTTTTCCCATTTGCGTTTCTGAGGCGCTGAGTGGTCTTCGGCTTTACCTTCCAGACCACTGAACAACCCGCGGCACTGGACGGCCTTCGTGGGAATTTTGAGGCAATCTTTCATGTTCTACGGACACGGGTACCGAGTGGGAAAAGTGATCTCCCACCCGAACTATGATTCCAAGACCAAGAACAATGACATCGCTCTTATGAAGTTGCAGACGCCTCTGACTTTTGATGGTACGTGACCGCGTCCGTGGGGCTCGGGGGCGTGTGGACGACTTTGACCGCGTGTCCAGGGAAGATGGAACCAGAGAGAGGGGGGTTGTGCTGCGTGCGGGGGCATGCACCTGTGACGGGCTGGGGGAGGGAGTGAGCGGCACGCTTTTCCTCTACCGTCCAGAGTCGTGATTTAATCGACACGCGTCAAAGTCCACACGGGCTTTCCAACCACAGCGCTGCTGGCCTTCGGGGTCGGACGGCGCTTTGGAGCCGTCCTGGCCTGGTCCCCATCCACCAGATGCCACTGGTGCCCTTCGGTTGTGACACGGATGTCTCCAGACGTCGAGAGACCTGCCCTGGGGGTGAAATCGCCTCTAGCTGAGAACCGCTGATCTGAAATTTGTCAGGACTTGACTTTTTCATATAAATCCTGAAAACAAGACACTTAACGGTTTACAACAACGAAAAGCAAGCCACGGTTTCCCTTAGCTTGGGCCCCCATTCTAGTCGATCCAAGGGGTCCTCCGGAATGTTCCAGCCCACACGGGCAGGGACAGACCAGACCCTCATCCACCACCACCCCCCCTCCCCCATCAAGGTGTTTGCATTCAAGTTGGGACACAATGTGGACCCAGAAGAACTGGTCCACGGGGGCCATGTCCAGCATGGCCTCCGAGGTGCAGGCTGGGAGTGCCCGCCAGCTTCTCCAGCCTCACGTGTGTCCTCTCTGCCCCTCGTCCCCTGCCGACAGTGTCTATTGTCAAATTTTTGTTCCTTGAAGATTTAAGTTTGAAAAAAGCCTTCACTACTTGCAGCCTCTCTCTTAGTTCTGTTTCTTGAAGAGTTCAGCGTGAATTTCTAGAAGCGGAGCTAGCAAACAGTTCTGTTTCTAAGCAGCTTAACTTCCAGAGAAGGGAGCACCTCGCCTGTGAGGAGGAGGGGCCCGGCAGGGACAGAACGTGGGCGTGCGGGGACAGGTCGGGGTCCGGGACTCTCCTGGGGTGATGGTGGTGGCACCGGGCCTCGCGGCGTGCAGATGGGGGGGGGGGGCCCGGGCTGAAGACGGTCGCTGCACAGCCTTCAGTTAGACCAGACTGGCTCACGCTGTTTTCTCTTCTTGGAACAGACAAAGTGAAGCCGGTGTGCCTGCCCAACCCAGGCTTGATGCTCGAGCCGGAACAGCCGTGTTGGATTTCCGGGTGGGGGGCCACCCACGAGAAAGGTGAGGCTCTTGGCCACGCGGTTCCCACGGAGCCCAGCACCGGGCTTGGAAGTGGGGGGGCCGGGGGGTTGATCCCGGATCCGCTCGCACGCGATTAGATCACTTCGGCCATGTCGCTCAGGCTCCGTGCCTCAGTTTCCCCATCTGCTAAATGGGGAAAAAACAAAAACAAAAACCCGTGCCTGCCCTACCTGGCACTGTGTCCTTACTAAGACGCAAGGGAAGCAACGTGTGTGGAAACTGCTTTTCGAAGCGTAGAGGCCGCATCAATGCGAGGGACGTACAGGCTGTGTGATCGCGTCCCCTTGTTGCTAACGGCTTGCCCTGGAAGCCGGCCGTGCCCTCCGGGGGCTCAGGGACAGTGGGCTCGGTGAGGGCGGGCTTTCATGACCCGCGATGGCCAGCCGCAGGCCGCTGGAGCTGCGTCCGTCTGCCCCGACGCCCCAGAGAGAGGGGGAAGCTGCACAGTCGTGGTGCAGACCCGCTCAGCGGGCTTTGCTACGATTGACTTTCTTCTCCGAGAAAACTTTCCGGAGAAAGGGAGCTTAGCGGTTCCACTTTTACGGAGCGTGAGAAGCGCTTGGTGGTACAAAGAGGCCTCTCACGCACTGTCTACGTCCTTCTGGAAAGTGTTCAAGGCAACACCCGAGAGACCCTTCAGAACAAGGCGGGAAGGACAAGAGCTGGGTGATGTGGGGGCAGATCGGGGCGACGGTGGCCGAGCCGGGCATCCAGGCACCTGGTGTAAAGAAAGTTAGAGCCGCTGAGCCTTACCCCGGGCTCACTGTGGGAAAATCGACCCGTGTTTGTGGAGCACCTCCTATGGGCTGGGAGGGCGTCACCGCACAGCATAGGACAGGAACATCTGCCCTCAGGAATGTCGCATTTCCTCGTGGATGTCTGGGGGGCGGGATGTGGTCAGCCGGCAAACAAAGAGCTGAACTGGGTGCTTTCAAAGGGCAGAAAGTTGTCACGGCGGGGGCCTGGCTGCTCTGAAGGGGTGATCAGGGAAGGCTTCTGGTAAGAGGCGACACTTGGGATCTGAATGATGAGGCTGTTGAAGGAACAGAGGGTCAGTGTGGCGGGGTGGGGGGGGATGGCGAGTCAGGGGGGACGGTGTAGGCTGCGGGGGGCCCTCACAGGCTTTGGGGAGGACCCTGGCTCGTATTCTGCGTGAGCTAGGGAGCCGTCGGGAGCTTTTAAGGAGAATGGCATGAGCTGGCGGGCTTCCGGGGAGCCCCAGAAAGGATGTAGGCAGGAGGGGGCTGACCCCAAGTGCAGGGGAATCATGTCTGGGATGCGCTGGCGGCTCAGCTGTGGGAGGTGGGCCTGGAGGCAGGAGACCGTGTCTGGGGCAGACCCCCCCCTCCCCCATCACCACCTTGCAGGTGGACTGAACATCAGCAGGGGGAGAGGGAGGGATCCAGGGCGGTCAGCTTCTTGCTTGGGGATCTGAGCCCCAGGGTGGGTGCGGTGCCACTTTCCGAGCCAGGGAGGACGGGGTGGTGAGGACTTGGGGTGGAGGGGTGCGGTGAGAGGCTCTGTTTTGTCACGTGAGGCCCGTGGCGCCTGGAAGAACCCCACGCGGAGGGAGCGAAGAGGTAGATGGACACAAGGGCCCACCCTGCTGTGGAGAGGTTTAGCGGGCAGGGGAGCCGGGGAGCGGGACCGGACCGTCGGTGGAGCCCCGTGGGGTTACGGAAACACGGCCTGACCCCTGTGGGCCCGGGAGCGGTCTGGCGAGGACGGAGCCCCAGAACCAAGGCGCTGGGCGGAGAGGGAGGAAGATTCTAGAACACAGAGCGTTCCGTAGCTCCAGGGCCAGGAAGGCCTCCCTGATTGGGAAGAGCTGTGCCAAGTCCGAGCCGTCGGCTGTCGAGATGACCCGGCCTCCCTGGAGGAGGAGGAGGAGGAGGAGGGAGGGGCCGTGGCCCCCGGTCTCGGGTGCGCACTGGCGCGTCCCCAGGAGGGAGGCCACTGCTCCACGGGAGCCGCTGGCTGCACGGCCGCCCGATGCTGTCTTCCGTCTCAGGGAAAACCTCAGACGAGCTGAACGCTGTCATGGTGCCCCTCATCGAGCTCTGGCGTTGCAACAGCAAGTACGTCTACAACAACCTGGTCACGCCGGCCATGATCTGCGCGGGCTACCTGCAGGGGACCATCGACTCCTGCCAGGTGACTGGAGGGCGCCCTCGCAGCCCCCACGGACACGGGGTCCATGTCCCTGGCACGCGGGGGGTCAGCTCCGGGGTGGCCGTGGCCAGCCGCCGTGACACTGATGGTGTAAAAGCACGCGCGTGCCCGGCCACCGGCCCCGAAGGGTTTTATTTTGTCGGCTTGGGAGCGGAACGGAAGTAAGTTTTGCAACCGTTTTAAAATACGGCCGACAATTTACTTAGTAACTAACTGCTACCTGATGCAGGCTAAAAGTTGTCACTGGAAGAGTCTCTTTTGGGGTTTATATTACTGTCCCTCTTGGTGGGGGGGGGACACAAAACCCGCACACTGTGTCATAACTGCCACGGGGACCCCCACTCCGACCCTCGCCCTGACCCCATCCCTCCGGGCGTGGCCAGTTGTGTGTGCGGGCTGTGGCTTAAACTTCCGCCCTTGGCTGTGTCCCCCAGGGTGACAGTGGAGGCCCCCTGGTCACTATGAAGAGTCACATCTGGTGGCTGATTGGGGACACGAGCTGGGGATCAGGCTGTGCCAAAGCCAACAGACCAGGCGTGTATGGAAATGTGACCGTATTTACGGACTGGATTTATCGACAAATGAGGGTAAGTTCCTGTCCCCCTCCCCACCTTGCTCTCTACTCTCGTCCCAAAGCCCAGAAGTCCGCGGGGTGTGGCGTGGCTGCCGGGGGCTCAGGCTGGCCAGGGCATGGAGGGACAGGGCCGGGTGGCGGGACAGACGGCGGAGGGAAGCCGGCACTGAGTAAGCACTTGCACCTTCACGGGCTGCGGTCGACTTGCGCCTCCCAGACGAGGCTACACGGCTCACTTCCGCACGTTCTCACTCCTGCCCCGTCCGGCCCTGTCCGCCTGGAGCCGCTTCCTTCGGCAGCCCGAGTCCTTGACCGTTGCCCTGTAGGAAAAAAAATGTCTCTTGGCCCCGCTAAGCTTGCTGCTTCGGTTATAAGTCAGTCTAGGAGGGGCGCCTGGGTGGCGCAGTCGGTTGAGCGTCCGACTTCAGCCAGGTCACGATCTCGCGGTCCGTGAGTTCGAGCCCCTCGTCGGGCTCTGGGCTGATGGCTTGGAGCCTGGAGCCTGTTTCCGATTCTGTGTCTCCCTCTCTCTCTGCTCCTCCCCCGTTCATGCTCTGTCTCTCTCTGTCCCAAAAATAAATAAACGTTGAAAAAAAAATAAATAAAAATTTAAAAAATTTAAGTCAGTCTAGGAGACAAAACGAATTTGCTGCCTTTTTGTGTCTTGAGAAGATAAAGCCGTTTCTTTTTTTCTCGTTTCCTTTTTGAACAGGCAAACGGCTAATCCGCGTGGCCTTTGTCCTCGACACCGTTCCACAAGAAAATGAAGGGGCTGATTTTTAACTCCCCGTGCGTGATGTGCTGTATTTTTAGAAATGATTCGAAGGTCCTTTCGTTGTTATTAAATAGTGTATTTGTCTGTCTTCGGCACTCTCCATAGTTCTGTGCAGGCCACAGGCCCACGCTCCTGGACCCCTGGTCTGCAAGGCGTGACCAGGCCCAGCGGGGTGTGGGCGCCCAGGGCCACCGCAGGGCAGAGGGATAGAGGCCGCCCGGTGGGGTCTTCCTTCTAAGCCCACTCGGGGGGCCGATGCACCTTTTGGATGCGCCTGGGGCTGGTGACTTCTCAGCTGCTGGACGGCTTGAGACAGAAAGGGAAGAAAGCCGGGTGGGACTTTCAGGGTCAGCCTGCTGGGGTCACTGCTAGGGAGGGCCAGTCTCCCTCCACCCCCCTGGGGGTTTTCGCTGATCATTTTTTAGTGCCTTCTTAGCAGCCCTGGATGGTGGCTGAAAATAAAGGGACCAGCCCTTCACGGGTCAAGATGGAAAGGCAGCAAGAACCTTCTCTCCCGCTCAACAGGGTGAGAGTGTAGACAGACCCTTCGGGGCAAGGGAAGTGCTTGCAAACGCAGATGCCACCGTGTGTGGGGCTGGGCGCCCCCGGGGAGAGCCAGCCCCACTCCCCCACCCTCTTCCCTTCAGATTGTGGGGTGCGGCGGAGTGGGGTGCTGTGCTGACCCTCTTGGGGCCTGCTGATTATATGGAAATTGAGGTCACCCCCTGGGAGGGGGGGGCGGGAATCAGGGATGTGTGATTAAAGATACACTATTTCCATGTAAAGTTCCTACGTGTTACTACCTCAGTGCTCCGGGAGTCTTGGCTGTGATGTCTCTAAGTAGTTGCTACATTGACTCTTTGACACTCTTGGCCTTGCCAAGTGGGCCGCGCGGGGGGGGACTTGAGGCGCTTTCCAAAGTGTTCTGTGCCGGGGGTGTGGCTTGTGCTGGCCACAGAGAGGAGAACCTGCGGGCCCCTTTCAGCCCCTCAGGCTTCCCCGGGAGGAGGGAAGGGCTGGGGTTGAATTGCCAAGTGTGGAGCCTAATTGCCTCTGCGCTGAGTCCTGTTTTGGGGGGGGGGGGGGTGCTGCCTCCTCTCAAGCGCACTGGTTTCCAAGAAGGAAATGAACGATCCCACCGCCTAGGGCTTAGCCCCGAAGGGCTAGGGCTTAACCTTGAAGCGGGAAGCGGTGGCGGCCCCACTCCCCGGATGGATGCTTCCGTGCCCGCTCCCCGAGCCGGATCTTAAAATGCATTGTCGTGGCGAGAACGTGTTGCGTCCCTGGCTTCGTTTTATGTGACGCCTGTTTGTCCTCTGTTTTGTACCTTTTTTAAACTGTAAAATTCAATTGTGAAATACTGTACAAATAAATTATACATTTGTTTTCCAAGGATTTATGGAGTCCCTGCGGATGGGGATGGTGAGCAGAACCAGTCTGCACCTCCTTGGAGGGCGGTGATGCTGGGGAGCTGCTGGGGGGCGGTTGCCAGCGGGGACGGGGGGAGGGGGGCGGGGCTGAGGACTGAGGTGCAGGGCAGGGTGGGGGTGGGGGCTGGTGGATGTGGTCCCGTCGGAGGTGTCCCGTGGTAACTCCTTTTTTTTTTTCTCCAAGTTTATTTATTTGAGAGAAAGAATGAGCAGCGCAGGGGCAGAGAGAGTGAGAGAATCCCAAGCAGGCTCCGAGCGGTCAGCACAGAGCCCGACGCGGGGCTCGAACCCACCAACCGTGAGATCATGACCCGAGCCGAAGTCGGAGGCTTAACCGACTGAGCCACCCTGGCGCCCCCGTCCGTGGTAACTCCCGCCATGGCTGTCACCACCCATGGCTCCCGCTTCCCCCTGACTCAGACCCTGAGACCCCACTGTCTTCCAGATCTCTCTGTCCGGTATCCCACACATCCTCAGCCCCAGCCTGTCCAAACCCGCGCCCAGCATCTTGTACCCTGAAGCTGTCTCCCCAAAGTCCCTGTTATTTCTGGGTGACTGAGCTGCCTCCTCAGCTCTCTTGGGCGCCAGTCCCATGGAGATGGGACTGGGACTGTGGGCAGGAGAGAAACACTGAGTTTTTTTCTCTGCCTGAGAACAGAACTCCATTCGGATCCTTTGCATCCCCCAAATCCTGCACCCGTGACAGGTGATTGTTTTCATTATGTGTTAGAATTGTGGAAAGACACGTGGGGCGCCTGGGTGGCTCAGTCGGTTAAGCGGCCAACTCTTGATTTCAGTTCGGGTCACGATCTCAAGATTGGCGCGTTCGAGCCCCGGATCGAGCTCTGTGCCGGCAGTGCTGAGCCTGCTTGGGGTTCTCTCTTCTCTCTCCCTGCCCCTCCCTCCCCCACTCGTGCTTTCTCCCTCCCTCAAAATAAGTTTAAAAATTTTATGTTAAGACGTGTTAAAATTATGGAAAAAGTGGTCCTAAAAACAGGGAAAAGCACACATTTTTGCTAGACAATACCCTTAAATACAGTGGATCCTCACTCATGGTAATTATGTTCCTTAAACCCATCACGAACGCTGAATTCGTGAATGGGGAATTGTTGCTTCTGGGGGACAGAGACAAGGTCAGGTGTCGACGAGCCTCCGGTCTTTGTCAACCGATGGGTTCATGACCTTGTTTTGTGGGTGCTTCTGTTCAGAGACGCCTAATTGGATATATAGCTGCTGCACCAACTCTGAGCCCGAGCGGATGGCACCATCCCTCCCGAACTTGCTTATCTGCACGCGTGTTTTCCCCGTGAGGCACTTCACGGAGACCACGCTTCTCCACGACACCTGGGGCCGTGTCGAACCCAGAGATCACCAGCCAAAAGTGCAAAAATGCTGGAAGCCTGGCACCAAGCAGATCACAAAAGGACATTTATTGACAGCGAGAGCTGAAACGAGAAGGAGGGCTCCGCTGTGTGTCCTCGGCGAGGCACCTCCCCTTTTTTGCCACCCCGCGCACGCCTGGCCGCCGTAGCGCCGTGAGTGCTGGTTTTGGAATTACGAATAAAAGTTAGCAGGTAGGGGGACTCAGAAATAAAGGATCTGCGAAGAGCAGTGAACCGTATACCTAGAAAGTCCACATGGGCCAAGGCAGTTAACAATCTTCAGTTGCATTTTTCGCGCTAGAGTTGCCGGGTGAGTGGCCTTTGGATGAGGCTGATTGCACCTCAAAGATCTAGCCAGAACGCTGGAGCTAGGGAAATATTGATATTTTTGGATTAAAGGCTTTATAAAAGATGTAAGTTAATTTGCTTGATATAAATGAACCCCAAACACTCATCATTAAAGGGAAAACACACGTATTAATAAAAGTGAATCATTTGTGCTGATTTGTGTCTCTTCTTGCCACTGGGTCAGTGGGTGGGTTTCCAGCACTGAAACATGTGCCCTCCAGGGGCGTCTGGGTGGCTCAGTCAGTTAAGCATCTGACTTCCGCTCAGTTCATGATCTCACAGTTGTGAGTTCCAGCCCCGCGTCGGGCTCTGTGCTGACGGCTC